CGCCCGGCCCCCTCCTTTCTATTCTGTATCCTGTGGAGGGGAGCCACTAGGCACAGCCCACACTTAAGGAGGGGGGACTCATACTTCCCTCCTTTAGGGTGGAGTATCTGCATAATTTATTCTGAATTCTTCTACACAGGAGATTTCTCTCTTCTCCACTTAGTAATTTATTCAATTATGTATTTATATCAGTATAGACTCATGGAGATGTATTTTATACTTGGGTTATGATCCAATATTTATTTATTTTGTTGTTCAAATTGTTCCAGCTTTGACCATTGGGAGCTCTTTCAGTTAGCTCCTGTGTCCCTTTGACTGACTTACTACCATCTATGTGTGTCTATGTGTGAACTCACATGTGCATTTTGAATATTTATTTATATTCTGACAATACAAGATGCTCTAGACCAGACTCATTTTGTATATTTCCTGTAACAATCCTGGAATCAGCCACTTCTTCAAGGAGCCCTGATTTCTTTTATTGGAAGATGATATTAGAAACCAATATCTGGGCACTCGATGTGCTCCTCGCTACTGGAGTGTCACTTGTTTTAGGCCCTTTCAGCTGATAGAGCAAGGAAATATATATGTGGATCATTTCAACCCCCACTCCTTGCTTATTTGTAAATTCCCACTTAGTGAGAAACCTGGCTCCTACCATCCACCACCCATTTACTTAATTGCTCACTTCCAGTATACATTTATAAAAAAATCAGAATTATTAAACCCTACCCTCATGGGAAACAACTTTATCAACTAGAGTACGATGCTTATGTGCATGCAGTTCCTTTTGCCTTTAGTCTTACAGACTCCACTCATTTCCAGGGGTACTTAAGTCAATGCCTTTTTCGGCCATCCCTCCTCACTGAAGTTGTTCATACATTTGTAATACAGTTAGATTCTCTAATCACAATTTATATTCTCTCCTGGGATCTTCTGACCTCTCCAATAATTTTGTTAACTTTGCATACATCAAGGTTTACTCTTTGTGCTGTAAAGTTCTATGACATATCTGAATGGATTTTCTGTTATCCTATAATAATCACCTAATTATAAGAAAATTACTTCAGCACATCCTAGTGAATCCAATGCCAAAGTTACTTTTTAAATTATAAAATGGCAAAACTTCGTCTATTTAGGACATTTAAAAAATGCTAATAATTATCCTCATAGCTGATCACTCATCAATTCACAGAAAAGCTATGTTTTGACAATATGCCTGAATGAAATCTCTATTAGAGGCATTAAACAAAGCCTTTGACCCAAGATCCTCAGTGATTTAATAAACATTTACCAGGTGCTACCTGCATGCCAGGCTCAGTGGTTGGCACTAAAGGTACCAATGATAATGAGATCTGATCACTGCAGGCCTGTGTATTGAATGCAGTGGTAGAAATGCACAGAGGGCAATATGGAAGCAGAGTGGAAAGCCACCTAAACCATCCCACTGCCGCTGGGACAGATTTGGGGGTACCTGAACTGTGGCTTAAAGAATGAGTTAGCCAGCAGGGAGGCAGAGAATGGAAAAGCACCTTCCAGGGAGAGAGGGCAAATTAAAGTCACCAAGGATTTTACAGCATAATGTATATAGGAAACCACTATAAGTTAAATGTTGTTAGAGTTAGAAATAGGGTACAGGATTTGGTTAAAAAATTAGGCTGGAGAGATGAGCAAGAATGGGAAATGGAGGGTCTGTATGTCACAGTAAGGAGCTTCAAGTTTATCTTATGGTTGATAGGGAGCTACTGACGGTTGAAAGCAGAAAAGTGACAGTCAGATTTGTGTTTTAGAGAGCTCACTTTTGCAGCTGTGAGGAGTGATACGAGGACAGGACTAGAGATACAGTGACCAGCAAGAAGACTGTTGTTCAGATAATGGAGGAAGCAGACCTAACTGGGACAGTCACAGAAAGGACAGAAAATATTTAGGACATGTTTAGGAGGTAGAACAGGCAAGATCTAGATTGAATTACGAGGGGTAGATGAGAGAAAGTAGTCCAGGGTAACCATGGAGTTTCTAGTATGGTTAAATAAATGGCTTGTAATGTCACTAACTGAGGCCCATAATACAGGACGAAGTAGCAATTTAGGAAGGAAGATGACAGTTTCAGTTTGGAGCACACTGAGTTAGAGAAATCTGTGGCCACCCAGATTGAAATATCCAACAGGAAGTTGAATAAATGAGCTACTGAGTAAAGAGATTAGATATTATTTAGGATTATTCTGCAAATGGGTGATAATTATAATAAAGGTCATAGGCAAGAGCATGCCAAAAGGTTATGCAGAGTGAAGCGGAATCTGGGGACCACTCACATTTGAGAAGAGCCCATGAAGGAAACAGACAGGAAACATATGGGTAAAAGGAAAATCAGGGAAAGGTTGTCTCACAAAAGCCAGAGAAGTAGGAATGGTCATCAATGGCAGACACAACAAAGACTCCTCTCCTGTAATTTAACAGTGTTCTGCAGTCCCTGAAACATGAACTGCAGGCTGCACTTTATCTTTTAAAACGAAATGTGTAGAGAGGTAATTTGGAGCATGCAGAAATTTGTAGAGTGCAAAAATATAGTTAGATGGATAATTAGAATGAACAATATTTGATAGCACAGCAAAGTGACTACAATCAACAATAAGTTAGGGTATACTTCCAAGTAAATAAAAGAGTGGAACTGGAATGTTCCTAACACAAATGTTAAATGCCTGAAGTGATGGATATCACAATTACCCTCATTTGATTAATTCACATTGTATGCCTGTATCAAAACATCACATGTACCCTATAAAGATATACAGCTATTATGTATCCATAATAATTAATGAAAATTAAAAAAATTTTTTTAATTAAAATATTTTTAAAGCCATTTTATATCAAATAACATAGTAACAGAAAAATTATGGTGTGGACAATTAATACAAGGAACATAGAGTAAGCAAATGTATACAAAAGATTCATAACAGATCAATCCGGTACAACAGACCAATCCTAGATTATCCAAGAGGAATTGCTCACCATTTTGAAAGCAAATTGACTAAGGAAGAAATACAGATTATTATCTTTTATTCAATCTATAAGGAATAGAATTAGTAGAAATAACATAAAATAAAATTCAAAACTGCTCACCATAAAAATTTATCACAGATGAAACAGTACTAGCTCATAAAATTCAGAGTATAAAAATTGACCCAGGGAAAAAAGTTTTGGTAAAAATATTTATCAAAAGGTAGAACAAACAGTGGCTAATGCTGCATACTTAAAACTTGCTGTTGACTAAAAATTGACACACAGTTCAAATCTTAATAAAATTTAAACTGATGAAAACTTAAACTGATTCAGAAAAATTAAACTTGGTGACCACAGAAGCCTTTGAAATATGATATGGACAAAAAGAACAATGTGTCAAATCTTTGCTTTAAGATTTACATGGAAAAGAATTGGAACCAGTGATAATTTTACTAAAATAATAATGAAAATGCAAAAATTGGGAAAGAGTTTAACTGAGATATGTGGAAATTAATTGAGAAATTATCTCGCTGGTACTTTTTTCATGAAAATTCATCCATATTCACGTATTTCTGATTAAAATGTCTGGATAGAATCAGAACATAATCAGGATAAAAAATTAAGTGGAGCTGAAATATCCTTAACCTTTGAACTTCCATGGGACTGTCTGTAACTAAGGAGAGCTTGACTATACAGAGTGTCAGTCTTGTGGCGGCCACCAGGTCAACGGAGCCCCTTGAGAGTGGCAAAGAACGCCCGATTGATGAAGAAGAAAAGCCGCTCCTTCCTACTCACAATGGAAGGCTTTTGATAAATACTTCATTTATTGATTTATTGGCTTTACACCATCTTGTTCCAGACAAGAATTTAAGGCAGCTAGAAAGAAAGTAAAGAAAAAGTACATATGAGATAAAATAAAATTCCAAATAAAAGAGTAAAGAAATCGTAGCTTTGAGAACTGTAGTGATTTACCAATCTAGCGATATGCCAGAAATTCAATTTCTTTTTCCATGTCTCTGGAACACTATTAATAGCTTCTTTCTGAGAATGAAATACTGAAAATGAAAATGTTTCTTTGGAATTTCTTCCCAAACACATCAGTTCTAGCCCATATTTAGATGCATTTCAATCCACTGCTTCAGTTTAGTAATTTCAGCACAAGCAATTTTCTTGTCTAGACTCACCCTCTCATCTTTTTGCTTCTGTTTTGGATGAAGTCCTTGAAATATGTCTTTCTTTGCTCCAGAGATGGTATAAATTTGTCATATTTCTTGTTTCTTGAATGGCATGTTTCATTACGTTCTTCTAAGATCCAAGAGTCCAGAGATATTTTTTAAAAGTATAAGAAACAATTAAAATAAAAGAATGAAATGGGAAAAGGTGCAATTAATACACCTGAGAGAGAAATAAGCCTTGATAACTTTCCTGTTTCAAAAAAACCCACTTTAAAAGTGAGACAGATACTAAAATAGGAGAACAATAAATATCACAATTGAAAACTGAAATTTTTCTTCCAGAAGCCATACTGTCGCAAGCTCAGCCTGTGGCTGGGCCACATCATCTGCCTGGTTCTTAGTTTACCTGAGGTCCTAAATCAGAGAAGTTCTATGTCAGGGGTGGGGAACCTTTTCATGTTGGAAGGCCACATTAAATTAGCTGTAATCAAATAAGGCCTCATTCAAGAAACTCTAATTAGATATACTTAAAGGTGTACATTATTTTATAAAAATCTAACTACTATATACTTAATACTTTCAAAAAATGAAAACTATTTGTTAATTTTAAAGTTAACTAACCTTTTAATGACTTTCTGGTGTCTGCTTTTTCTTGGAGAGCATTTGAATATTTGGTTGCGGGATGGAGGTCCACAGTTTCAGCTGATCCTCTAGATGGGTATCAGTCATTTGTGACCTTAAGGGCATCTTGATTTGGGTTAGGTAGGAGAATGTAGATTCACAGCAATAAGTGGCTGAAAAGCAAGAAGGCATTTTTTGTTGAAACTTATTTTGTTCTTTGGTATTTTAAATAAGTTCATTTTAAAAATAAAATAAAAATATAAAAGATGAACAAAAATGTATTAATAAAAATAAAAAGATTTGTTCTATAAAATTTGGCTTCAGTCAAAAGGAGGCTGCACTTAAGGACCTAAAAGGCCATATGTGGCCTTAAGGTCTTAAAGCCTGATAACCTTTCAAAATACAGACAACTGCCTCAGTTTCCCCATCCCTGTTCTACGTCATATAAATGAGGCACACCTGACAGTCAAGGTGAAACCGAGTGTGGGCAATCAGTCACACCTTTTTGAGTCCTGGCACTGTGCTACAGAACACACAGGAAACATCAGCCTGTGCTCTCAGGGAGTATGTTGAGATCCTATTAGCTTCTTCCATTACATCTTAAAAACAACAGCAAGAAAAAAACTGGAAATAAATACACTACCATGCAGGATAATTAGAGAGATTTTAGAAAGTGCTGAATATTGTTTAAGTTACGCAGCCTGTGTCATGGGTGCCTCAGTAAGCCAGAATGTTCTCAAGTTGATATTTCTTCTTCATAAATAGTACAAAGCCCATTTATCTAATGATTTTGTGGGCTAAGTTCTATGCTGGGTACTGGGTATATAATCATGAGCAAAGAGACAAGGACTCTGCCCTCACAAGCCTATGTTCTAATGAGAGAGAAGGAGAAAGTTAAGAGACAATTAAAATGATAAAGAATTGCAAATTATGATGAGAACCATTAAAGAAAAAGGGAGAAGAGAATAAAAGAGGGACTGGTGGGATAAGACATAGATAGGTGGTAAGAGCAGGCTTCTCAGACAAAGTATCACGTAATCGAATGAGAGCTAGCCAAGAGCCAGTGTGGGAAGAGATTTCCAGGCAGAGGGAACAGCATGTGCAAAAGCAGGTCAGGGTGTCTGCTGGTCAAAGGAAGAGGTAGGAGTAAGGGGAGATCACGCAGATGCTGATGCCAACTTCAATGTTTTTTCCATGGAGATCCAGCAGCTCACTCACTCTGGCTGCTGGGCAGAGCAGCAGTAGGTCAAGATGGGATGTTGCAGAGGTGGGACACCAGTCCAAGCATCAACACACATTAAAATTAATGTGAAATGTACTTATGGCCACTGAAATGTGCACATGAAAGTGGTTACAATGATAAATTTCATGTTATGTATATGTTATCAGAATAAAAATAATTAATATGGACAGGAAACAGATATTCCCTAAATATGTATTGCCATGAATATTGTTCCTTCCGTCTCAGACCAACAGGAGCTCCAGGGAGCAACGAGCAGTACAATGTGGGAATGGTCGGGACGCATGGGCTGGAGACCTCTCACGTGGACACTTTCAGCAGCAGTATTTCAAGAGAAGGAACTTTGATGATTAGGGAGGTAAGTTGGTATAAAGACTGGATAAGGAAGTGCATTTCTTAAGTGGTTTTTATATTAGAGCTTTCACAGAGAATGCTTATGGCATGTATTGTAAGCATGGGGAATTGGGGGTCGGGGGACCTGTGCTTCTAAATGGTTGAGTGATTTTAATTGTCTCCTACTCCTTTCCTTTATCCTTCTAAGCTTTTTCAGTGTGACTTAATTACATTAGTCCAAATGCTTCAGTAGGAGCTATTGCAAATCGGAACATAGAATTTGAGCCTGAGGATATAAAACTGGCAAACCCAGATGTTTTCTACAACAGGAAAACAGAAATGAATAGTCTCTCTGAATAGCATCACCGGCCTTGTTATGCCTCTTCTCCCCATGGTTTTATCCTTGTGGATTTTATGTAGAAAATTCTCAGACTTTCCAAGAAATGATATCATCTTATCCAGTTAAATTAACATTTAAAAGACCATTAAGCTATTTTATTAAAATAACAAAAATATGCAGATCTACTCACAAATGCACCTTAGCACTTTGAGTGATTTTTTTTAAACTCTAGGGACATCATTTTATTTGGTGGGAGGCACATATTCCTTTTCATCTGTCCCTCTAACATGCAGTAACTTACCACTGTGTCTGTACTAACTGGAAGGACCCTGACAAATTAAATCAGTCTTTTCTTTTTTTTTTTTTTTTCCTACTTCATCATCACAATGCAAGTTTGAATTCAGGGCTTTACTTGGAAGGAAAGTAATGGTTGGGTACGTTGGGCAAATGTTACCTGTCCCCTCCCTGCATCTGTTTTATTATCTATAAAATTTCATAAATAATAGCACATGTCTTATAAGATAGTTATGATTATTAAATGAGTTAATAAACGTAAGCATTCAATAAAAGTTAACTATTTTATTTCATTCTCTCATAGAGTTGAATTCTCCTTTCACTTGTTGTCACTACCCAGTCTTCCCTCTGAAACATAAACATGTTATCTGTCATTCTCCTCCTTGAGCCAGGACAGTTAGGAACCCCTAATAGCAGGCTGTGCTCTCCCAAAAGGCACAGGGCATCGCACTATTGTGAGAAAGAAAGGAACTCTATTTTTGAGATGCATTAGGCCTTTGAAGTAGTAATTGGCACTGGGGCTATAACTGAAAGACTAGTTCACAAAGCAACTTACTAGAATTTCATTTTATGGCCTTGTTGAATCTTACACATAGGCTTTAAAGAGTCCTTTCACATGCACCTGGAATGAAAAATGGACTTGGCTGCTGTAGTTGACATGGTGTAGTGCTGGTATATAAATTTCCCAATGTGGTGAATGGATAATTTCAATGGAAATGTAGAAGGTTTCTATTGCTATAGCTTGTCACTTAGGGAAACATGAGGGAGAATGTCCTGGAGTGAGTTACTCTTTGACTCCAAACGCAAGGACTCCAATTTCTAATGTGGTTTAAAATTTGCTTGAGTCTTTATGACAGAGTCAATACCTCCAAGTAGAAATTTGGAGCCACATTTTCAGTTCATTTCCAGCCACATCCAAATGGCTCCATACTATTTATAGCACTGCAATATTCTATAACCACAACTAATCACTTTGAAAATAGCATTTACAAGTGTCTTATAGGAATTTGACCTATTAAGGACCCCAAAATCTTCTTGTGCTCTCAATTTCCCAATTCTGCCTTTCCCAAATGTGAGTTTTTTAAAATAACAAACTGTATTAATCAGAGTTCTCCAGAGAAACAGAGTATATATACATATATGTAACGAGAAAGCGGGGGGGGGGAGAGAGAGAGAGGGATGGATTGATTGATTGTGAGGAAGTGGCTCATGTCATTATGGAGACTGGGAAGTCCCATGATCTGCCATATGCGAACTGTAGACCCAGGGGAGCTGGCCGTGTAAATCCCAGTCTGAGGGTGGGTGAAGATGAGATGGAATGTCCTAGCTCAAGCAATGAAGCAGGAAAAAAAGTGGTAAATTCCTTCTTCCTCTGCCTTTTGTTCTATTCAGGCCCTCAGTGAATTGGATGATGCCCAACCAACTTGGGAAGGCCCATCTGCTTTACTGAATCCACCAATTCACATGCTAATCTCATCCGGAAACACAGGAAAAAATGTTTGATCTGGGTACCCTATGGCCCAGTCAATTTGACACATAAAATTAGCCATCACCAAACCTTGAGTTGAAATTTATTAAAAGCACACATATTGAAAAGAAAAATGTGGGTTAAAGCATATCCCTGACAAAATAAGAAAATAAAATAAAATCTCATTATAAGATTTAGCTTATTGGGTACTTTTAGTTTAGCTCCCCATGATGAACATCATAGAGAACTCACTTCACTTGTCATTCTCATGTGAGTGGTATAAGAACAGACCAGCTCTACTACCCATGATCTTATCAAATGCACAAATTTCCCCTTGTAGTGCACACCGCTGCTCCTGTGGCTCTACCTTTCTCTGTCCTATAGCCTCACAGGAGCATTCTTCATTCTAATTCGAGAACACACCACACCTGCTGTGGTCTGCCATCTCGTTCTTGGAAGCCCATCTGCTGGAAGAGCTGTTCTCCTCTCCCCACTGCTGCCCACTTCACCCAGCAGACCTCTGTGGGTCTGGCTCACTCTTCCCTTTCTCCTCGAAGCCTCTACTGGGACTCCGTGGACCTTGGTCCATAGGACCTTCCTGGTGTCAGCCTGTATCTCTTCAGTGTCTGTCCAGCCCACTGAAACAGAACACTAGCTTGTCTCATGAAGGCTCTTGGTTACGAGTAATAAGTAAAAGAATCCACTTAACACAGCTTAATTTAAAAAGAAAAAAAAAACTGGGGAGAGGGTAAGTGTCAGAAACAGAGGAGTAAAGATTCAGAGGTACGTCTCAAAGGGAACGCAAAGGTAGAACGTGAGCTGGGCCTCTGTGCAGGACTGGAACCAGAAACTAAGTGACAGGGCTCAGGCAGCTTCTCATGTGCATGTGTCTGGCTGTCTCACTGCCTGTGTCTCCTTACCCTCATCGCCGCTTGCTTCCACATTCCTCCTCTCTTCTTCTCTTCCCCAGACCTCCACGTGCTCATGCTCCAACTGCCTCTTCCTTCATTGTAAGATATTTTCCACATCCTAGTTGAGCTGCCAGCAGAGACTGACCAGTATCCCTCAGGCCAGTTTTAAATTCCAGTAGGAATCTTCTCCTACTTGGCTCAGGCATCCACTCCTAACTTAATCAGCTGTGCCCAGGATTAGAACCCCTGGTACAGCAGTGCAGCCCGGGACACCTAGGCTCTGCCACCAGACAGCCTGGGTTCAAACCCTCATTTCACCACTTAGAACCCATGTCACTCATGGCAAGTTAATTGAATTTTTTGTGCTGTAGTTTTTTCTATCTGTAAAATGGGGATCATGGAAGCTAACCCCTCATGGTATTGTGAGGATTCAGTGGAATGTCATAAATAAAGCATTTAGCATGGTACTTGGTGTATGTTGGTGCACACAACATCTTGGTGCCTGACATGGGACTGACAAAGGCGTAAAGGTCAGAGACATTGTTGGGGTTCTGTTAATGAGGTCCTAGAGGGCAGGACTTGTTCATTTATCTTTAGGTTTCCAGCAGCATGCCTGGCACACAGGTGTTTAATAAGAAGGTGCTGGTTGAATGAAAAAAAGGGTTATGACTTGCATGTGGGCAGATTCAGGGGTCATTGCTGGATTCCTTTCAGCTTCTCACTGTCTGGGCCACTTCCCCTTGTTAGCCTCTTTAGGTCTTTTTTTGATAACCAGTGTGTCTGCATCACTTTTTGGCTTGAAACAGAATGCTGCTGATACAAGAGAGACCAAAAAATTATAAAGAGATGATGTGTGATTTATGCTACTGGGAAGTTAGAGGAAAATACTGAAATGCTTTTCAGTATTTGAACAGAAGTTAGAAAAGAATAAAAAACGGCCCACTACATATAAAATAGGAGACAATAAGATAAATTAGAACTGAACTTCCTAAATGTCATTTAGAAGATGAAATGCTCAACTCGACAATAGGCACTAGGCCAAGCTGCAGATGAGCACTATGACAAGATGACTCCAGAAAATGCCCCTCTCCAGGACAGTTTGTAGTCCAGAAGCATGTCGCCAAGAAACGTAGAAAACACTAGGCTTTCCAGTTATTTCTCAAGCTTCCTGGTAACATCAATTACATGCACACCTCAGGAGCTTGGGACTGTGTTTCATCTCACACACACACACACACGAAAAAGTGCCTCCTTTCACTTCCAGCCAGAGGCAGGTGCACAGCTACAATTGGAAGGCCAGGATAAGCTCCTGAAGGAAGAAGCCAGGCTAGTGAGATGGTCAAAGAAACAGCATGAACCCTACACATGCCAGCCCCAAAGAGGTAGGGAGTGTGCCAGCCTTGTTCCCAGCTGTTCCATGTTCAGCGGAATGCTTTACACTTAGTAGGCACTCAAAAATGTAGGTCAGTGAATGAAAGAAAGAAAAGGCAGAAAGCTCTAAAAATCCTCAATGAGCCAATTGCATAAATGTGAAAAAAATTACAAGACTAATTAGACCTATAATGTGGGCACTGGCTTTGGGAACCAAAGTTATCTTTTAATTCTATCTTTCTTCCCTACTATTTTTGGGAAGAGACTGCTTTCCAGAACAGTGGTTTCCAGACTTTTTAGGTCATGCAACCCTATCAGTAAAATTTGTGGAGCATGCCGCATAATCCAGTATATTTATTCACAAACCATACATTTGTCCCACTGCCCTAACATACTATATATATTAAAAGCACCTTTTAAAGGATGTTAAAAAGGAGTGCTATAAATGAAGTTTCTAATGCTTTGCTGCTCATGATGACTTTATTTTTTTTCTGCCTACATCACAAAGCACCATAGTTACTTATGGAGAGATTCAACATTAATGATAGTGGTTGTAAATCCATATTTTCAAATAGTCTTCTAGATCGCATCAGTGTTTTTTTTGGAAATCCTGTCAGGTCTGACTAGTTAATCATACTTTTGACTTTATGAATGACAAAAAGCCCTGTGAGTTGGGCAAGTATTGTCTCTGCACTTTCTTGGAGTACACTCGTGCGTGGATTATCCCACTGCTTCCTTTCAGCAATATTTCAAGTCACTGTATCCTGTAGTGTGACTCGTAAATCCAGTTAGCTGGTGTGCGCATGCGTGCACAGACACCGCTGCAGAGGAGCTCGCACATGCGGGCCCTGCTCCGCCCTTCCACCGTGTGGCGTCCCTACCTCCCCACAGGGGACTCTGTGACCCTGACTGCCCCTCACGCAGGAGCATAAGGCTTCAGGGTCAGTCCTTATACTAAATACGGCAAAGCTTAATTTCTTTTGTATTTTCTTCGGTAAAATAGAAATTTGAATGTTACCGTCCCACAACGTTGTGGGTTGATTTGGAGCCCGCGTGCCTGTGCTGTGTGAGGGGTGATGTTGCTCTGTGGCCTTTTTTCTCCCTCTCTAATGCCCCCCATGTGTTGTGCCCCCTCAGACATCTGGAGAGAAGAAACGATCTGGCCACAGTGACAGCAATGGCTTTGCCGGCCACATCAACCTCCCAGACCTGGTGCAGCAGAGCCATTCTCCGGCTGGGACCCCGACCGAGGGACTGGGGCGTGTCTCTACCCATTCCCAGGAGATGGACGCTGGGACTGAGGTAGGTGCCAGGCAACAGCTGATATAGCAATTCTGTTCTCCTTCAGGGAGGTTGAAACCCTGCTTTCTTCAAGAATGAGGCTTTGCCAAGCTCCCTGAAATGTGTTTGGTTGGTTTCTACTATGGAGCTACTTACGCAGATACTCAAATAGAGAAATCATAGAAACAGAGCCGCTGAAAGTTCTCAGATATCATCTGGACCAATACTTGGTTTTACAGATGAGAGTACTGACATTCAGAGAGGTTAAGTGACTCACTCAAGGCATACAGCTGGTTTGTGACAGATCCAGGACCAGAACTGGGACCTCCTATCTCCCAGGCCGGAGACAGAAACTTCAGGCTATAGACATTTCAAGGCCAACAGTTAAAGTTCATATTTACATTAATTTAGTCAGACTAAGTTTGACTTAAATAGAACAGGGTTGAGAGATTTGTTTATGAAAAATAAAAGTTAATAGATAAGTTTTTAAAGTGTCATCTTCCTAAACTCCAAATTGTGTGAGAAAGGAGAAATGAGATATTATTTTGCCTTTATAGAAACAGTCCCAGGAAAAAGCCTGAATAAACACAATCCGTTAGGTAGTGCTCATAGACGTCATTGATAGAGACCAGTTGGATGAGTTCACGTGTTTCACAGATAGTCTTATGAATCACCTATAAGGCCCTAAATGCATTTATAAAGCATATACACTGTTGTTTTTGACATATTCCACACACTAAGCTTTTTGTAAGTTTTTTGGATCCTAAAGTTATAGAGCAGATGAGTTCTGCATACCCTCAAGGAAAAGAGCACAGAGGCATACTGGAAAGTGTGCAGCATGCTATTGTAACTTCAGGCAGTACAGGCAGGCATTCTCTGCCTGAACACCTCTGTCGGTATCAAGGAGAATCCCACAGGGTTGAACCCTGGTTCAAACTCTGGTGCTGCCCCAGCTCTAAATGGGAATGTTAGTACCCACCCTACCCCCTTCACAGACATCTTCTAAAAATCAAAGGACAGAATGTATGTTCAAGTGCTCTATTTGGGAGCGGGAATCTATTTGAGGAGGCTGAAATGGTTTTGATTTCATAGGGTGGAGGGAAAATCTTGAATTAAATCATATTGGCTCTTTGTGTTTTTTTTCCTTATATGTTTTAGGGATCTTGGGTGTTGGTTTTATTTTTAAATAAAAACCTGAAAGCAAAACTAAGAACCTTTAGTTAAAGACATTTATCTGAAAAAAGAGGTGCTGCTTATGCTGAGTACAGGTATGTTTGTGATGTTAAAATGATGCGTGTAGTAGAAGGAATGGAAAGGACAGACAAAAGGGGAGGTGGTTATTGCAGTTCCTTCAGCAAAACTCACATGTGGACTATCGTGACGGGAAGCCCCGATACTGAGTTTACTGTTGCCTAATCTAATTCTGACTTAGTTTCTTCGTGGTGCTATCCGAGCCCTTGAGATTCATTTTTTTATAACAACTATGCTTTCAAGGTAAATTGCCCTCCAACCTGGTATCTTCATGAAGTTCCCAAATAAGGCATGTAAATATAAGTATCCTTTTAAGGAAACTACTATGGGAAGGAAAAATCCTCAATTCTTGGTTGAAATCATCGCTGCATTAAAGGTTTTGGAGCCAACACCAATCCACTTGCATTACCAGGCTAGAGTGGAGGGGCTCAAACTGCTCTTCTGCCTCCCGTGAAGAGGAAGCCTCTTGGGTTGACTGTGTGTTCAGGATGAAGTGCTGCCATGTAAACGTGCTTCCTTAGTTTGTTGCCAATTGTGTCAGCTTTTCATATGGACAGTTTGGTCGGTATGAGATTGCTTTTACTGAAAGGGAGAGGCAAGCTGTGTCACGACCGTGATCTTATAGATATTAAGGTGCCACATATGGCCCAAAATGTAGTTTTATCACTATGCCCCTTGCAGTGTGAGAATTAAGCAAACCCTACAAATGCACAATGGCTAGTGAGTAACCAATACCAGAAGAAGCTTTGACTAGGCCTGGAGTGTCAACAGCTAAATGGATTGAAGTGTGTGTAATCATTTTACAACCCAAGCAAAGTATTATTAGCATTGGTTATTTCTGCAGCATGTATTTATCTGCTCTCCTTAATCTTCTTGCTTACTGATTAGTATGGCATGGGGAGCAGCACCAAAGCCTCCTTCACCCCCTTTGTGGACCCCAGAGTGTACCAGACATCTCCCACTGATGAAGATGAAGAGGATGAGGAATCATCAGCCACAGGTGAGCTTGAAGGCCCCTGTGTTTTAGAACCAGCTTTGTTTTCCTTTCTGGCATGGCCTGACAAGGAAATTAATTATCGGTTCAGTAGTTAAGCCATTTACTGCTTAGACATTGTCTTAAAGGGAAGGTTTTTTTTAATCATTATTTTTGTAGGATTCCTAAAACAAATTTCTTTCCATTTTTTTTTTTTTTTATCTCTTCTATTTTGCTCCTAGTAGGAATCCAGAGGTATCCAGGGACCCTAGGAAAAGCTGTTCCTCAGCGATCTCTGAACTTACCGCATATTTCCCAAAAGCAGTTTCTGGGTACAATGCTATGCATACAGTAGACACTTAATAAGTGCATGTTGCGCTGTGTTGAGTTCTAGGTGTGTGCTTTCCACACAAAGGTCTGGCTGATTTAGAGGAGAGTCTTGCTTTCTAAACTTCTGCAAGTCATTAATCATCAAAGTCAGCTTAGGCTAATTTTTTAATTGATAATCTGCAATTTCAAAAAGTAAACCTTTCTTGCATATATTATAGGAGGTGAGTATGGTGTATTAAATTTTGTGAGATTAATATCAGTTTTCTAAACTGTCCATGTAGTGTCTATAAGCCTGTCTTGCTAATGAATAAAATACTTCATTTTATGACTTACACTTTTTTGTACTAAAAAAAAGTATAAAATAAGTAGAGTTTGAGAATTTCTTTGCCTTTGCTATAATACAAACTAAACAAGGAGAAATCATAGTGTTTTGAAGCCCCTTCTCCATATCTCCATTGGTCATCTGTTCAGAGGCCACTGACTTCTCTGGTTCTTTTTCTCAAAGCTCTGTTTACTAGCGAACTTCTTAGGCAAGAACAAGCCAAGCTCAATGAAGCAAGAAAGATTTCAGTGGTGAACGTCAACCCAACCAACATTCGGCCTCATAGTGATACACCAGAGATCAGAAAATACAAGAAACGGTTCAACTCAGAAATACTCTGTGCGGCTCTGTGGGGTATGTTGGTGCTTTTGTTTTACTACTCATTGATGAACTGACCCTCAACCATTAAAAGCCTGTGGATCATATCATCAGAACACTGGTTGAATCATGGCTATTAGAGACCTGACTTAGGACCATCTTGACCTCAGGAGAAACCAAAACAGTTTTATATATAGAAAGAGCTGATAACCTAATGCCCAGGACGACAAGATCAGATTCAGAATGACCCTGTCACACGACAGTGATGGGTAAAGCCAACAACAGAACTAGCCACCACACCCACTGTGTCCAGCACTGTACGGTGTATCCCACACTCATTCTCTGATCCATATTCCGTCCTGCAAGGGGAGTGATGGCATTACCTTCATTTCACAGCTGGAAAACCAGCCCAGCATATTTTACTGAATTGCCCAAGGCTATTACCACTAGCAACAGCAAGATAAAACTTAAAAAGAACGACAAATAATGATATGAGAAGTCCCTTTTAGTTCAAAACATCAACCTGCAGTTCTTGTAGAAAAGATCTGCAGGTTTTAGCTGACCTCAAACTCAGTATAGGTGTTATGAGATTCTATCAAAGTCCTGGTCTGTGTTACTATAAATGACTCATACAGTTCAAACAAGGTCATGGCCATCTGTATCCAACTAAAATACTAGGCTTCCGTTAGGGCACCATAATTTTAAAGGGATAAAAGCATTTGAGATATTTGCAGGGAAGAGTGTCAAGCCTGGAAACCATTTCCTGAGAGGTGTAATGGAGGTTCTGTCCTCCGGAGAACAGACAGACGAGAACAAGATAGCCATGCTTAATATCAAAAGGATTAATATGTAGATAAAGAGCAGACATTCATGTTGCTCAGAAGATAGAAGTACATACAATAAATAGGAGAAGTTAGAGAGTTACCTGTTCATGAGTATAGTACACTGCACAGTGAACCTCTCAATGTGTGTGTTGGGGGGTGGATGTTTAATTTCCCTACGGATTAATTTTTAGGATGATGGCTATCAAGACAAGACTGCATACCTACAATAACTTTTGTGATAGGGACTATTACATGAAGGTTGAGCTGCACTAGATTTAGATACCTGAGACTCCCTTATAGTCAGTATTTCTGTAACTCTCGGGCTATTAACACCTCTTGAACTGGTTTATCATTTCCCTAAAAGAGAGCAGAACCTTGAGGGTATGGGGCATAAGAAAGTTAAATTTTAGTATGAGAAGGAGGAGAGGCTTTTGTTCCAATGGAGCATGAAAATAGAAACTCTGCTATGTGTTGAAGGTGGGTAGGCTAGAAATCACCGCATGAATAGGGGTGGGGATGAACCTTGGGAAGGAGAGAAGTAGATTTATAGGGAGAGCCAAGAAAGAGGTGGTTGTTACAGGAAGGGAATAAAGGCAAATTGTGCTAGCTTTATAGCTGTGCCTAAGGCTCCTCTTGATAAGAACTCACTATACTAAGCAGTAAATGACCAGATGTAGTGAATGCTGCTACCACTTTATAAAAGAAAACTGTAATTTCATTACCAGAGGGACAATGATTTAATTATTATGTCAGAGCTTCTACTTCTACACTCCCTACTGTAGTACATATTTGCCCATTAGTTTATAAGAAACAGTTTATTAAGTTTTACAAAGACCCCAAATGCAGAAGGTTAAAGCTAGTGAAAAGTCAGTTTTGGGGTGCTTCTTAACTTTGCAGGTGTAAACCTTCTGGTGGGAACTGAAAATGGCCTGATGCTCTTGGACCGAAGTGGGCAAGGCAAAGTCTATAATCTGATCAACCGGAGGCGATTTCAGCAGATGGATGTGCTAGAGGGACTGAATGTGCTTGTGACAATTTCAGGTATGTTACTAGGATGACAAATTCCCCAAGTCTACACAGGTGGGAAAGGAGACCACCTAATTTCTGAAGAAACAGTGAGCTCTGCCCTTCCCAGCTAACAAGTAATGCAATAGTTGTAGCAGTATAGCCAGAGTGAGATCACCCACATTTTGTAACAGTGGAGATTCTGACCTCCAAAGGGAAGTTCCTCACCTCTGCACTAAATCTGAATCAGGCAAACACATACCACAAAGCTTGTATATTTATAGGCCTTTCCCTCTATCAGGACTCAACAGGGATCTTTTTAAAGTTGTCTGCCCTCCAGTTATTACCATCTACTCTCAGATGAAGAATACCAAAATGTAGGCTTCTAGGAGGGAAATTTAGTAAGTGGAAATTTTCTCTGGTCTCTTCCCATAAGAAATTCTCTTGTTTATACTTCACTGATGTCTTGGCAGGTGCAGCTGGCCCACTGGGTGATCAAGACTGCAAAGCGATTTGAGTATAGGAATTATTATTGCTGTGTTCTATAGCTATTTGGTTCCTAAAAAGAGCTTTAAAAAAGAAAAAAGAATAGAAACTAAAGTGAAGGCCTTATTACTGACAAGTTAAAAATGCAACCGGAAAGAGAAAGGTTTTTTTCTTTCTGATGGTATTTAAAGGAGTTTAACAAATAACGCTCTTCTTTTCCCCTCCCATTCCATCCAGTGTGGAACCAACCACACTATTGTACTTTAGAACCATCTGGAGAAATGTGAAAGTTCAGGCTGCACCCAGATCAGGGTCAGAATCTCTAAGGGGTGTGGCTGAGGCATCAGCAGCTTTCAGAGCTCCTAAAGTGTTTCCATTGTGCAACCAAGTTTGAGAACATGGCTCTATGCTCAACCATTGCTTCACAAAGAGACAGGACAGGGATACTGGTTTGAACCTTGAAGAAAGTTTAACTCTTCGGCTATACTTCTATTTTGAGAAAATGCTTTCACTTGGCACTACAGGTTTTTCTTTCTTTTACCTTTC